AAGAACAAGATTGTCATGATTAATCTTGAGATTGGTGTACTCATCTTTTAGCAAATTGTAACTAGTGGTGAGCTCATTATGTATCCCCTCAAGTTTATCATGTTTTTCTCTAAGCTCCTTTTTAGAGGATTTGAGCTCCTTGAGTTTGGATGACACAATTTTATTTTCTTCTCTAAGCTCAACACTAGCTTTTTCGGCTATGTCATACTTTGCTAAGAGTGAGTCCTTCTCAAGTTCTAGCTTTTCATTTTTAGCTCTTGTCTTTCTAATGATTTTAGTGCATTGGTTTAGCAACTTGACAAGATCATCATAAGAAGGTGATTCAAATTCTTCATCACTATCACTACCACTTTCATCATTGCTAGCATTATCATCACCACTACTATCATCATTATTTTGTACCTTTCGTTCACCCTTGGCCATAAGGCATAGGTGTGTAGAGGATGATGACGGCGGTGTCAGTGAAGATAGTGAAGAATCAATCACAAGAGCGGCCACCTTCTCATTCTCATTCTCACTTTCATCATCAGATGAGCCACTTGATGATTCAATGTCTGTGAGCCAATCACCAACAATGTATGCCTTGCCATTCTTCTTCTTCTTGTGAAATTCCTTCTTCTTGCCATTCTTCTTCTTGTATGGCTTGTTCTTCTTCTTCTTCTCATCATCATTTTCATCACTTGAGTCATCTTTCTTGCCCTTGTACTTCTTCTTATACTTGTCTTTCTTGGGTTTGGGGCATTGATGAGCTAGATGACCAAGTTTTCCACAATTATAGCAATCCATTTCAAAGATGGGCTTCCTTCTATTACTAGTGAAGAATTTCTTCTTCTTGCCATCAAACTTGACACTATTCTTGTTTAGCTTCTTGAGCATCTTGGTAGTTCTTCTCACCATGAGAGCAAGACTTGTATCATCAATCTCATCATCACTTGAGCTATCATGATCAACTCTTGCTTTGCCCCTCTTCTCTTGGCTAGCCTTGAATGCCAAATCTTTCTTCTTGTTGGAAGAAAAGCCATCTTGTGGAGTGATGTGCATGTACATCTCATATGCATTGATCTTCCCCAATATTTGAGTTGGTGTAGCGGTGGAAAGATCACCTTGATGAAGCACCATCACAATATGCCCATATTTGTCAATGGGGAGGATACTCAAGATCTTTCTCACAATATCGGAGGGTTGCATTTGTGTGAGTCCAAGCCCATTGACTTCCTCTACAAGAACATTCAAGCGTGAATACATCTCATTGGCACTTTCTCTAGGAAGTATCTCAAATGAATTAAGTTTTTTCATCACAAGATGGTAGCATTCCTCACTCTCACTCTTGGCTCCCTCATGAAGCACACAAATGTCCGACCATAGTGCATGGGCGTCTTTGTGGTTTCGCACACGGTTAAAAACATCCTTGCAAAGGCCTCTAAAGAGGGTGTTTCTAGCCTTTGCATTCCACTTCTCGTAGTTAACCTCATCGCCTTGAAGGTTGGTGGGATCCTTAGGTTTTGGGAAGCCTTGTGAGGCAACTCTAAGAACTCCAACATCTAAAGCCTCTAGGTATGCCTCCATGCGAATTTTTCAATAAAAAAATCATCTCCCTCAAAGATAGGAGGGGGTCCATCCCCATGGGACATCATGCTCTAGGCGGTTAAGCTTAATTTAGGGAGAACGAGGGTCTGATACCAATTGAACGGATCAAGATGCCCAAGAGGGGGGGTGAATTGGACTAATTCTAAATTTTTGCAATAATTAAGCCATATACTTAGCCCATTTCACCCCTTGTGTCTAGAATGTGTTTCTATTGTTCTCCTATACAAAAGTTTTGTACCCTAGGTTCCAATCCTATTCTAGCATGGCAATTCTAGGAATGTAAAGACATGAAATGAGTTGCTCAAATGTAAATGCTCAAAATAAAGAGAGGAAAAGGAACACGACGATGTTTTCCCAAGGTATCGGAGAGTCGCCACTCCCCACTAGTCCTCGTTGGAGCACCCGCACAAGGGTGTTGGTCCCCCTTGATCCACGCAAAGATCAAGTGCTCTCTACGGGCTGATTCTTTGACACTCCGTCATGGTGAATCGCCCACAACCGCTTATAACATGACTTGGGTCATCCACAAGCTTCACGGGATGATCACCAAGCTCCCAATGACCAAGCCGTCTAGGTGATGGCGATCATCAAGAGTAACAAGCACAAACTCTCACTTGACCAAGACAAGCCTAATGAGAAATGTGGATGTACACTTGCTACTCCCTATGCACTAATGAGGTCCTTAATCTTGGATTATCAAATCTCAATCACCCTACTAGGCTCTTGCTCTTCCTTGCACTTCAAAGGTGTTTCTCAGCTGAACAAATGGGCAAGAGGCCTCAAATGGACCAGTGAGATATGTATTTATACCCCCCATTCAAAACATAATGGTTGAGGTCCAACTCAGCAAGTATCAGGATGACCGAACGCTCCGATCAAGGTGACCGGACGCACCGGTCAGTGTAATACATCAGCGTGTCAGAAAGAGCCGTTTGCTCTGACCGGACTCTAGCTTGCATCCGATCAGCACCCACCGGACATGTCTAGTCATCAAAAACCCTCTCTAGAACCTTACTGTTGTTGACCGAACGCTGGCACCCAGAGTTCGGTCATTTCTCTGTTCAGCATCTGGTCCGTGGTCAACAGCATGTTCACGCTGCTACAGATACGGCTAGCGTCATGTTCGGTGAGCACTGGTGTCCAGTGTCCATCACACTCTGACTGCTGCTGCCGATCAAATGAACTGATCGGACTCTCCAAGCTGCATCCGGTCACAACCAAACCAGCGTCTGGTCAGTCATTTGACTCTCCATTTACTTCCAATGCAAAATTCTTTGTGAATGAAGTTGACTTCTATCGATCTTAGGGCTATTCCTGAGCTATCTAGTGCTAAGTTTAACAAGTGTGCACCATACCTAATCTATTAGACTCACCTAGGTTAAGCTACTAGTCCATACCCCCCTTAATAGTACGGTCAAAGGAAAAACAAAGTCATAAACTATTCTAAGTGTCTCTCTAACACCAAATGACACTTAGAACTAGTCCGTCCTTAACCTTGTCGTCCATCCTTTAAAAACCAAAATGATTTCCATCGACAGGGGCATGACAACCATGATTGCCCAATCACTTTCCATTACCATGACATAACTCAAATTACGTCTACAAAACACACGTTAGTCATGGTAATCTCGTGTCATCATTAATCACCGAAACCCAACTAGGGGTCTAGATGCTTTCAGAGATACTTGAAGCATACACAAAATATTAGATTATGGTATCCTAAAGGAGCTAGATTTGAGTTGATTGAATATTCAGACTCCGATTATGCGGGATGCAAAGTTGAGAGAAAGAGCATATCAGGCACATATCAATTGTTGGGAAGATCACTTGTGTCTTGATCATCAAAGAAGCAAAATAGTGTAGCACTTTGAACCACCGAAGTGGAGTACATTTTGACCGGTAGTTGTTATGCTCAATTACTTTGGATGAAAGCTACTTTGAGTGATTTTGGAAACAAATTCAAACAAGTGCCATTGCTATGTGGCAATGAGAGTGCCGTGAAGCTCACCAACAACCCGGTTCAACATTCAAGAACAAAGCACATAGATGTCTGTCATCATTTCATAAGAGATCACCAACAAAAAAGGGGACATTTGCATTGGGAGTATTGGCACCGATGATCAACTTGCCAATATTTTCACCAAGCCACTTGATGAGAAGAGGTTTTACAAGCTAAGGAATGAACTGAACATACTTGACTTCTCAAATATGTGTTGTTGCACCATAATTATATGACATGCCTCTCCTTCGAGCAAATCAAGGTAAAATTGATTGACATGTCATTCATCCTTTGCTAAGGACTTGTTTAGTGCATCTAGTCATTCCTCACATGTCTTAGGCTCATTCATAAAAATCAAATGAATTTGATGCTTGTTGGTACCACTATTGCCTTTATGCTTGATATGATCTAGTGGTAGCATATGACATGTTTGTGGCCTTGTGAACCTAGTGTTTAATCTAAAAAATGAGCTCTAAGTGTTTAGCTCAACATTGTCAAGATAACCCTTGAAATGAGGTGTGAAGAAGCTTGTCATTGGATCAAACCGAGTTAAATATCTTTGGTGCATGATCTAGATTGAACCAAATATGAGAAAATGATCCTCACTTCACATGGTTTCACACCAACCTATCTAAAAATTGAGCTCACCTTTTGTGTTAATTAATGACAAAGGGGGAGAGAAATTCCCAAAGATAATTAAAGGGGAGAGATTTACAAAGATAGATAGTGGATTAACAAAGGAAGAGGATCAATTAAAATTTGACGCACACAAGTTGGGGGAGCAAGCCCATAAACTTATATGTTGCATTTGTATGTGCATTACATATGTTTGCTTGCATAGCACAAGTTCTTAATTCCATGTCCATGCATGTGTGGTGTATGCTAGTTGTAGGAGTGATTGATGAAATGAAAAACTAGCATGCATAGGATGATAGTTAGATGTGCCTTGCTTACATTATAAGTGGTACTAGAGCCTTGTTTCTAATATTGATCTCACGAGGTATCTAGTGTTTGTGTTTTGCAAGTGCTATCTAACTACTCATGGTGCTAAGGATGGTATTACTAGCAACTCCAATTGGTATCACGCTTCAAAGGTTCATTCTTTACACATTCGCACTATTTGGTAGCCATTACTCTTCCACACTTCCTAATCCATGCATATGTGCAAGCTTTCAAATCCAAACTCTTAGCACATGTGTAGGGGGAGCTAATGATATCTATTCGGGTTTATGAAACTTGTTCATATACTTTACACATGGTAAAATACTTGGACAAGTAACATGAATTCAAGAAAATCTTATTGAATATCTTTATAAAAAGGTTATCATTAATTACTAAAAAAAAAGATTAAAAATCCTAGTCTGATTTTGGATAATTGATGAAACCTAGCGTACCAGACATTACTGGAGAGACAATGTGCAGTGCCGGCGTGGCTGATGATGCTCAAGCCTTGAACAGAGTTCGAGTGGTCCCACCACCAAGCGATGGACAAAAAATATTCCAGATTGATCCCATGCTGTAAGGCTATAAGTACCATCTTAGTATCGGTATGTATTATTTGCTTGTACTGCACATTTCCAGATGTTCCCGTCTTTCATGTTTTTTTTTCTCGAATACGCAAAAGCTTTGCGTATCATTGTATTAAGTAGAAGAATTTAAACAAACATACAATGCGCTTGTACCGATCGCCAAAGGAGGTCAACCTAACACAGCCGTAGCTGGACCATTCTAGCAAGAGACCTCTAGATTCGATATTACATTAAAGAAAATAATCAATACCGACACAACGATACGACCTAGGAGGTGGGCTTGCGTTATATATAAATGGCTGCCTCAAGTGTCAAGATCCTCGATCGTGAAGTTTATCTTAATTCTTGCATGCGTAGTACCAGTAATTCTTCATGGTTTTGCTGGAAGGCCATATGAATAACTAGTCAGGTTCGTTTGCACCTGCAATCTTTCATACTGTTTTGATGCCTAAAGTGTTCCATATGGTTTCACCAAGCATTAGAACTGAACGGACTAGATCTGTTCCCTTTCAGGGGGATTTTTACATAAATGTTAGCCAGACAATATAGAGGCAACAGTCGGTTCTAATCCTTTGGCAACCTTCATTTCCATCCCTTCTGTATTCTTATATAACCCATGCAAACACCACTAGCAATCTCACTATGCTTTCATGAATAAAATTCTTCTTATAAGATTGAGTCCTATATATATATAACCCATGCGAATAATCTCACTATGCTTTCAACTTTCATGAATAAATAAACAGGTACAGCCTCTATAGGAGAATCCGTTCAGACATTGATGAGCATGAAGGAGGCTTGGAAGCCTTCTCCCGTAGCTATGAGAAGTTTGGATTTAATCGCAGGTATTCTTTACCGTGAAGTGTTTATCTTTTATCCTATATACTAGCAAATAACTTTGTATCTTATCTTCCAATGTAGTGCGGAAGGTATCACCTATCGAGAATGGGCTCCTGGAGCACTTGTATGCTCTTTCTTCAGTTCTTCTAATCTTATTGCTTATCATAATACAATACAAGTTCCATGTTTCATTACAAGAACGGTCACTCTCCCAGCTACAAAGCTACTTATATTTAATATTTTTTGACCTTTCAAATGTATATATTGTTCATCAGAATTGACTCCTGAATTTCAGTTTGCAGCATTGGTGGGTGACTTCAACAACTGGGATCCAAATGCAGACCGTATGAGCAAAGTATGCTTATGGCTTCAGAAAACGTTTTATATTTTACTTATTAGATTGGTTTGTTTATCTTTTTTCATAAACTCCAATACTCCATATATATGCACTCTATTTAATCAACTTTCCAAAGGAAAGTGTATATATTGAATTCACTAGACTCAGTTCCTACAAGTGACTTTAATCAACTTTCCAAAGGAAAGTGTATATATTGAATTCACTAGACTCAGTTCCTACAGTTGACTCTTGCCATAAGTGTGCTACTAGATAAATGTGTTGCTGCTGCTATACTCTTAGAGTCAATGTTCACAAATTGCACATGTTATACATATATTCTAACTGTCTAGATATCTTTACAAATTGCATGTTCCTATAATAGGATGAATTGAGTACTCATACTTAGTGGTGCATGGACTTGGAGTAGGTGTAATTCTTAATGATTCATGAAGAGTTACTGATGTGGGCGTGTTTGTTTGTATGGGTTCTTACCCCCTTTCTTTCTTCTTAATATAATGACACGCCATGTCTAGTGAATGCTTGTATAGTCTTCTTAAAAAAAGACTTACTGATGCTTGTATAGTCTAATCCGAGGTACTTTGTTCTTGCAGAATGAGTTTGGTGTTTGGGAGATTTTTTCTGCCTAACAATGCAGATGGTACATCACCTATTCCTCATGGATCTCGTGTAAAGGTAGCTTTTCTTTTCCTCCTTGGTTATTGTTTTTGTCTCGTGAGCATCTCTCCAAAATTAACTGGTGAATTTTTTACCATATATAGGTGAGAATGGATACTCCATCAGGGATAAAGGATTCAATTCCTGCCTGGATCAAGTACTCAGTGCAGGCCCCAGGAGAAATACCATACGATGGGATTTATTATGATCCTCCTGCAGAGGTCTTCCTTTCTCATATTCTGTACTTACAAATTTTAAGTAACCCTTTGTTCCTACTTTGGGCTAGAATTTAGTTTCTTGGAAAATACCATTTATTGCTTTGTGGAACCTCTTTAGTGTATTTCAGTCAGTCTTATTTGCTGTGGGATCTGAATTTTACTTTTCTCGCTTGCTACTAATTAAAATATTTCACATGCATATGTAGGTAAAGTATGTGTTCAAGCATCCTCAACCTAAACGACCAAAATCATTTCGGATATATGAAACACATGTTGGAATGAGTAGCCCGGTATGACACCTTTTCCTTTTGATTCCTTAGACAATGCTAGCCATATGCAACACCCTGGGGACGTTTTCCCCCCAGGGTAAGTTTTTTTAGACAATGCTAGCCATATGCAGTTTTAGTTAATTACAGGCTTCAATGATATTTAGATACTATTACCTTCTTACATTTGTCTTCCTTATTTAAGATGTGTAGTCTAAGTGTATATATTTTTTTTTCATAAAATTTCACTTTGCTACTTTTTTAGTGAAGCCAGCAACATGTAATTCCAAGTTATTCCGGAATTTGTTAATTAATGACGTTGTCTTGGTTCAAATAGGATGTTTGAACCTATCAAAAATGGATGTTCCAATAGTAAGAGAGAATTTTTACATTTTCTTGCAAATTACCAACAACTTAGAACTGATCAATGTAACTTTGAATGCCATTTCTGCTCTGATATATGTTTCTATAGTTCATAGCATTATATAACATTTCAAAACAATATGCATATGTTTCTCATGGACGGTCATCAATATGTTATTATGTCTTATACTTTAGTTGATACATTTTGCTTAATATTAAAAATTAAATTCATATTTCCCACAATTACTTTGAGTTCATAAAAATAAACATAACCATAGCACAGGCACTCTAGATTTTTTTTCTAATTACCATGTGATTTCTATATACATGTTCCTTCACTATTCATTATCCTTTTTTATGGCTATAATTTTGTTTTCTTGTTTGCACTTAGATAATTTTCTGCATCCTTTTGTGATTAGGAACCAAAGATAAACACATTGGCAAACTTTAGGGATGAGGTCCTCCCAAGAATAAAAAAAACTTGGATATAATACAACAACAACAACAAAGCCTTTAAGTCCCAAACAAGTTAGGGTAGGCTAGAGTTGAAACCCAGCAGAAGCCATCAAGGTTCAGGCACGTGAATAGCTATTTTCCAAGCATTCATATCTAAGGCTAAGTCTTTGGATATATTCCATCCTTTCAAGTCTCCTTTTATTGCCTCCACCCAAGTCAACCGGTGCCTCTAGAGGTCTCCGTTGCACATGTCCAAACCATCTCAACCGGTGTTGGACAAGCTTTTCTTCAATTGGTGCTACCCCTAATCTATCACGTATATCATCGTTCCAAACTCGATCCCTTCTTGTATGACCGCAAATCCAACGCAACATACGCATTTCCGCGATACAATGCAGTGCAAATAATGGCAATCCAAGAGCACTCTTATTATGGAAGCTTTGGGTAATTTCAGGATCTAGTTTTGTTTGTCTTCTCTTCTTCTATATCCACTTTAAACTTTACCTTTTTAACTTTGGTACCTGTTAAGTGCTTGGGAACTTCATCTTTCATCGTCCTCTTTTTTACTGTCATTTCATGCCCCTTTCCACTTTGCTTCTATTTTGAAGGCATTAAATGTAATAGTTTGTTTTGGTCTTCAATAATTTATTGTATTTGGATGCATTCCTAGTAACAAGACTACACAGATATATACGCAACCCCAACTGTGTGAACATGCTCTGATTCGATGGATGGTTGCATGATACTGTCAATATGGCATTATGGCAACTCACAAGTACCAGTATCAATGCTTACTGCCTCCTGTCATAAAAACAAGTTGTTTAGGACAAGATTTAGTCAAACCATAAAAACTACAAACACCAATAGCTTTTAACTTTTAGTTTGAAAGCATGTAAGTTATATGTGTGGAATTGTATTGAAAAATACTTACAAATCTCATAAACTTGAAGATTCAAATCAAAGTATATATTCTAGAAGAAATCAATGGTCAAAGATATGCATCAAAGACCATGCAATGTTGAATCAAGTATTTTGACAGTAAGGAGTACATGTTTCCAACAGGATGAATTTTGAGAGGGTATCCATCTGTTGAGAGGCGGAGAAGATAGTATCCATCTCAAATTTTAGTTCCGAATGATGCTTTTTCATTTTTGGCAAACAATATTACAGCATTGATTTTTATATTTTGTTACTTCTATTGCAGATACCATGTAACTATTTTTTTTTGCACCAAGTAGTCGTTTTGGTACTCCAGAAGATTTGAAGTCTTTGATTGATAGAGCACATGAGCTTGGTTTGCTAGTTCTCATGGATGTGGTCCATAGGTAATTGATAAATTTCTTTGTTATTAACTTATCTTCCTTTTATACAATTGCCTTATATTGCATGGCTAAAGCTAAATTTGATGATGTGTAATTCATAGCTCCAAGAAAAAGAAAATACAACAGAACTTCATGCAAGATGGAAAATTTAGCTGTAATTTGCAGTGTTCTAAGCTAGATACATAAATTTTGCCATGTACTTAAGATATGTACTATGTCTATATAATAGTAAAAGCAATGTATCTAGAAAAGCCAAAATGTCTTATAATTTGGAATGGAGGGAGTAGTATTGTGTGTGGCCAAACAATCTTGTTATGTCAATTACTGTTCATTTCTGACCTTCAGGTCAATTCAAGGATTGTGATGCAATAACTGATCTTTTCTAGTAGTGGATGTCTAATATTTGACCATCTTGGACCATTATTCGTTTAGGTTCTTTGTCTCCATAAGGTCCAAGATCCTAGAATTACAGCGCTGTTGAAACCCTTTCTTTGAGAAGCATCAACCCTTTCTTTGATTTATTGAAGCTCTTTGGTTTCATACCTTTATCTTTGCTTTTGTGTTACCTGCAGTCATGCGTCAAGTAATACTCTGGATGGGTTGAATGGTTTTGATGGTACGGATACACATTATTTTCATAGTGGTCCACGAGGCCATCACTGGATGTGGGATTCTCGCCTATTCAACTATGGGAACTGGGAAGTATGGAACAAAAATGCTCTATCTCCAATTTATTTCATTCTCTCCTATTTTTCTGCCTGTATTCTTCAAATAATTTTATCCTTACACAGGTTTTAAGATTTCTTCTCTCCAATGGTAGATGGTGGCTTGAGGAATATAAGTTTGATGGTTTCCGTTTTGATGGTGTGACCTCCATGATGTACACTCACCACGGATTACAAGTAATTTAAGCTTTATCCCGATTAGTTTATCTTCAGTTGCTAAGTCTGACTGGAATAGTGGATTATGCCTGGGAACTAGCTTTGTTCAGTATCATATTTGTTATATCATTGCTTCTTATAGTCATGCAATTACTTTAGGTAACATTTACGGGGAACTTCAATGAGTATTTTGGCTTTGCCACCGATGTAGATGCAGTGGTTTACTTGATGCTGGTAAATGATCTAATTCATGGACTTTATCCTGAGGCTGTAACCATTGGTGAAGATGTAAGTGCCGAGTTTGTTTGTCATTCAGTATGCATTCTCACACATATTTGTGGCAATATTTTTTTTGTAGTCTAAGATGCTTTTTGTTTATCTTGACAAGATACTCCTGTTTGGGCCCTGTTTGGATCCTGTGGTCTAAAGTTTAGCCACTAAACTTGAGATCACTTTTAGCTCTTGAGACTCCAAACAAGAGGTCTAAAGTGCTGTCTAAAATTTAACCAACCTTACAAAAACTTTAGACCACACAAGTGAGCTAAAGTGGTCTAAAGTTTTAGTCCTTAATTTTAGCCAACTAACTCCAAATAGGCCCTTGGTTATAGAAAAAGTTACTTTGGATTTTAATACGAAGTGCACAACTGATTAATATTATTCTTCATTTATTCGAAGTTTCAGTCTATTTCAACTCCATTTATAATAATGTGCTTAGCAAGTTACTGTTTTAATTTTACATTAATATATAATACAAGAAGATCATTTTTACAACATGTGTGTATATTAGATAAGTAGTTCATACATATAGAATGACTACTTTGTGAAGAAACATATAGAATTACATTTAAAAAAACTATTTGAAATACATGAAGAAAGTTAATGGCTGAACCTAAATTATAATGGAGAGAATACTAGAACTTTTGGGTTTATACTGAGCCTCGACTATAAAGAATATTTCTCTTGAAGTTCAGAGGTTTACATTCTCGACTCAAATATTCTTTCCAAACTACTGGATGGATACCAGAGGATACCCAAAAAAAAATTGTAAGCCACTCTGTTGCCCTTGTTTTGGCTCCCAGATTTAATTAAATTTTTTTTAAAAACTCAACAACGGGGAGAAGACATCCCCTTGGATTGGCTTTAAAGAGAGCAGAGTACTGAACCCTTTAGGGAAGTAATCACCTGAGCCTGACCTGTGAGCACCTGGGTTCAAGCAGGTGGATAGGATCTCAGCTAGAGGCTCTACCAACCAAGTTATTGCTCGGTTCTCACCTAACTTTAATACAGAGATGAGCATTGCCTGATGTGGAATTAGCAGGTTGCTAGGTGAATATTAGCTTCTTCATGCTAACCATCTGCAAAGTTCCAAAAAAATATCTTGAGATTTTAATCCCTTTTGAAGTAGAAGCATGTTCCATATTGATAACATTTTCTTTCCCTGGAAGGTCCTGATTTACTGAATGTCAGATTAAGTATACACATATACAAAATATTTTTGGGGCTATAATTTGACAAAAATAGAGCATGCCCTCCACATCATTTGCTTACATAAACCAATAGGAATTTGAACGTATCTAAAATAATCTGTGACTTTTCTATTGGTTATTTAAAAAATTATATAACTTATTCAGGTTAGTGGAATGCCTACATTTGCGCTTCCTGTTCACGATGGTGGGGTAGGTTTTGACTATCGGATGCATATGGCTGTGGCTGACAAATGGATTGAACTTCTCAAGTAAGTATTTCATATGTCTGTGGATGATCATTATTTTCTTGTATTGGCCTGCATTTCGAAATAATTCTCTTTTTTGGCATAAAACATTCAAGTACATACACTAATGTTTAATTGCATGGGCCATGTGCATATGCATTTTTTGTTGTATTTGTCATCACTTTTGTGGTTTAATCTACATAATCATAAAAATAATAGATTTCCACATGAGATAATTTTTATGCACATTTGCATGTGGCCGCATACATGATTAACACCACCAAATATACCTTGAGATTGATGTATATTTTTCAAATTTGAAACCAGTGACCCCATCTGATACTCATTGTAATATTGCTGCACAAATCTTGAAGTTTTTTATGCATAGGATATTGCACATACCAACATATATCGGCGGTGCATATATATTTTGTACAACTAACATTACACTATTCACTATGTTCATATGTTTTGTGTTTAATTTTCTATACAAAAAGTCTCCCCTTGAATCTGGTGCTCAAATAATTTGTATAAGCTTTTGTTTCGAAACGGGGAAGCTCTATCTATAATATACCTTGTGCGTTCACTTTGAGTTATGTGGTGAGTTTCAGCTTTCTCTTTAACCGCACAGGCAAAGTGATATTCACTACTGGAAACAAAGCCTTTGCCGAGTGCAAACTGCTTTGCCGAGTATCAAAAATCGGGCACTTAACAAAGATCTTCTTTGCTGAGTGCCGCACTCGGCAAAGAGTTTTTTACCGAGTGCCGGGCACTCGGCAAAAAGAGACACTCGGCAAAGGACTTCTTTGCCGAGTGCCAGACTCTCGGCAAAAGCGCGGCACTCGACATAGGCTGCCCCGCGTAATGGTGTTCGGCCATGTCCTTCTTTGCCGAGTGCCTGCTGTTAGGCACTCGGCAAAGATTTTTTTTTTAGAAAATACTTTGCCGAGTGCCCCTGACGCAGCGCTCGGCAAAGATTCAATATTTTTTTGAGAAGAGGAAATTTCTAAAAAAATCAAAAATCCTCTTTGCCGAGTGCCCCTGTGAAGGCACTCGGCAAAGAACCCCTTTGCCGAGTGCCATGCCTCGACACTCGGCAAAGTTTTTAATTTTTTTTGTTTTGGCCTCTAAATTTTTTGTGCAGCCCTTTTAAAGTACCAGAAAATCCTCGTTAGAATTTGAGGATTTTTTTGGCTTTTTGATATATTTAGTTACTTTATTTCGTTTATTTGAATTTTTTCAAAAAATATAAATTTAAACTGCACGTGGTATGAATAATGGAATTTAATGATTCAAAAAATGATAGTCATATTACTGAGTGTAGTGTGAGGCCGTATCTATGAACGGACCCGAAATTTCAGACATCTTATTCACGAAACATGACCGCGAACTTCCGTGCGAAGTGTTTTTAAATTCTATAAAAAGCAAACGAAGTCCAAAAATCATAAAACTTGTTGAGATGTCGTGATGTCGTATGTGGAGGCAAGATGTCTGAAATTTTGGGTCCGTTCCTAGATACGGCCTCACACTACACTCAGTAACATGACTATCATTTTTTGAATCATTAAATTTCATTATTCGTACCACGTGCACTTCAAATTTATATTTTTCAAAAAAAATTCAAGTAAACGAAATAAAGTAACTAAATATATCAAAAAGCCAAAAATATCCCTAAATTCTAAAGAGGAGTTCCTGGTACTTTAAAAGGGCTGCACAAAAAATTTGGAGGCCAAAAAAAAATTAAAAACTTTACCGAGTGCCGGGGCATGGCACTCGGCAAAGGGGGGTTTTGCCGAGTGCCTTCAGAGGGGCACTCGGCAAAGAGGATTTTTGATTTTTTTAGAAATTTCCTCTTTGCCGAGTGTCTTCACAGGGGCACTCGTCGAAGACATTTCAAAAAAAAAATTGAATCTTTGCCGAGCGTCGTGTCAGGGGCACTCAGCAAAGTATTTTCCAAAAAAAGTATTTCAAAAAAAGAGTAATTTTTTAAATTCCTATCTTTACCGAGTGCCGAATCAGTGGGCACTCGACAAAGACATTTCAAAAAAAAATATTGAATCTTTGACGAGCGCCATGTCAGGGGCACTCGGTAAAGTATTTTCAAAAATAAAACTTAAAATACTTTGCCGAGTGTCACATCTAGGACATTTGGCAAATAATTTTAAAAAAAAATCTTCTTTGCTGAGTGCTAGGCCAGTGACAGTCGGCCAAGAAGCGGTTAAAAAAAATTAAAAAACCCTTTGCCGACTGACAGATGGGAGCGATTTAACCCCGCCGGCTAGGCCGGCCCACACACCCCGCACACACGCACACACGCACGCGCCACCGCCCGCGCCCGCGCTTCCGCGCCGCCAGCACCCGCGCCGCCGTCTCTATCCGCGTAGTTCAACCCATCGCTCTGCGCCACCGGCTAAGAAGTAGCAGCAGGCAGCAGCCGGAGCGAGCGAGCGGGACGGGACCCGTCGCCGTCTCGTCGAGCTGCAAGAAACGGTCGTCTGCACGGACGGCTTCTCCATGTTCCTCTTCTCCGACTCCAACCTCAGATCCACCCGTTTCGTCTTCCAGAGTTCCAGGTCACCCCAATCTCCTCTATTGCCCTTGCTATTCCACTGCGACTGCAAGATTCAGTTTTAATTTGGTGATATGTGTATGTTCGAACTGATGAACTGACGAACGAGAGGAGCTCTAGTTTCAGTAGTTTGTGCTCCTGAGCTTACTACAATGCCTTTCGGCCAAACCAATTGAATACAATTGTTTTTATAACATTTTGCTGTAGAAGTCGTTAGCAATCAAACCTCTTTTGTTCTGTGTGTTCCACTCTTTCGTTGTCTTGTGCTCTTCTTGTAGTTCTGAACGATGCTGAATTGCTGACCTCTTTTTGGTATAGGAGAATTCCATTAATTCTGTACATATATGGATACCAGATGGCAGATGGTTGAATACAACATAACACCAACCATGGTTTAAACCGTCACCATCTGTAGTTCTTTGCATCAGATACAAAGATGTCAGCTATCTGAAGTTCTAAACTACCAGGACCCGGTTCTTGGTCAACTAGCGGCCAATCTGCCTCTGATTTTGCCTCCTTTTCATTCTTCTGCATGTAATGTACGTCATTCTTCTGAAGGGTCATCATGGCTTAGATTTCTATTGACAACTGCAGTGTGTTTTCAATTTTTGTATGCCTCTACAGCTTGTAGAAGGAAATTAATGGTGAGCTTTTCTTTCTGCTGGCACCCTTTGTGGTTTATTTTCCTTATTCTGTACATTGAAATACTGCTTTTGCTCCATTAGCAGGCAGTTGTGTACAAATTTGTATAAGTAGTAGTTAGCTTATTAATTGTATGCCTATGCAAATCGTCATGTCATTGTATGCCTATGCAGTGTTGAGGGAATGGAACCACAGATCAGAGAAGAAGAAAGACCGAACCGGAGCAGGATTGAAGCAGGTGAAGGGTCTGTACATTGAAGCAGTGTTGAAGGAAGCAGAAGATGTAGTTAGTAGGGGCAGCTGTTCTTTTTTTTTTTTGTTAGTTTTCTGTTATCGCTGGGATCGGAGCCGCCGCCAAAGCTCCCTCGACCCCACACGTTGCTGCGCCTATAAAAGCCGCGGCTCGCGCCCCAGGTTAGGCCACTGGCCACCAGCCAGCCGCCGAGAGAAAACCTTAGTCAGCATCAGAAGCTAGCTTTCGATCCCAGCGAGGAAGAAGAAGACAGCGAGAGGAATGGCGGGCGCGGCGGAGGGGACCGTGATCGCGTGCCACACCAAGGAGGAATTCGACGCCCAGTTGGCCAAGGGCAACGAGGCCGGCAAGCTGGTACGTACGCCATCGATCTGTCTCCCTGTAATTTAATTTTCTCGATAATATGCCCGCGCTGTCAGTTCAACGATGAGTTTTTTGTTCCTGTTCTTGTTACTACTAACAATTCTTTCTAGCATTGAGCTTACTAATTTGTCAGCAACCTGTTTCTCCTTTGTGCAGTTTTCATCTGACGGTAGTTCGAATAATCTACCTCATGTACCTCAAAATGATGGAGCTAGGCCTTCACCATAGTCGTAGTGGCCGAGATGAGTGCACACGTTGTATTTTTTTCATTTGTTGTTCACTTGGTGATGAACTTGTGATATACTTGTGATGCACTTATGGACATTGATGGACTTGTAGATTTATTTGGATGGATTTGAGCACTTATTATTATATATGTGATATATATTGTGATGGATGTGATATGTGTGGATGGATGTGTGGATGGATGAGATATATATGTGATGGATGAGATATATGTTTGTATGAATTTATTTGTCACGATGGAATGTGAAAAAAAAATTAAAAATTACTATTTTGGGTCACTTTGCCGAGTGTTGAACTCAGTAAAGGACCCGTTGCCGAGTGTCATGGTCACAGCACTCGGCAAAGCTGGAAAAATGGGCACCGGGAAAACCATTTTTTCCAGCTTTGCCGAGTGCCCTGACCATGGCACTCGGCAAAGAATTTTTTTTAAAATAAAATTCAAACTTTGCCGAGTGCCGGCCAGAGGGCACTAGCCGGCACTCGGCAAAGAATTTTTTTTTAAAAAAAAATTCAAACTTTGCCGAGCGCCGGCCAAAGGGCACTCGGCAAAGAATTTTTAGAAAAAAAATAAAACATTTTTGCCGAGTGCTGGATAGAGGGCACTCGGCAAAGAATTTTTAAAAAATAAAAATAAAAAATCTTTGCCGAGTGCCTGCAGGGTTGACACTCGGCAAAGCGACCGTCAACGGGGCCGACGCCGTGACGGTCGCTTTTCTTTGCCAAGTGCCCCCGTCTTTGCCGAGTGCCCGATAAAAGACACTTGGCAAAGAGGGCTTTGCCGATCAATTTTTTGCCGTGTGTTCTTTGCCGAGTGCCGCACTCGGCAAAGGCTTTGCCGAGTGCAATTTGGCCTTTGCCGAGTGCCTCGGCAAAGAACCTGAATCCAGCAGTGATTGCGCACACAATAACAAATAGAAGGTGGTTGGAGAAGTGTGTAACTTATGCTGAAAGTCATGATCAAGCATTAGTTGGCGACAAGACTATTGCATTTTGGTTGATGGACAAGGTTACCACTCATTAATTTTCTTGGTGTACTTTACATATTTTTTCTACAATAATTAATTATATTTATTTTCTTCAAGTTCATGATGTATTCATGGTTCCCACAAAACAAATGTTATTTAGAAGCAAAGAGTTAGAACTTTTGTTAGTTTTCTTTAATTTGGACTTGTGTGCCCTGTTTTTCTGACATGACTCATGAGCATTATAGTTGCAATTTCATTTCTTTGACAGTTCTGAGTGAACTATGATTTATTGTTTTAATACTTCATTGAGTTTGTAGAACATATCGGCTCTTCCTCATCCTATACTTTCAGAAAATTATATTTGGTCTTTTCCTTCCACTATTCTCTGAAAAATACATGTAGAAACACAGAACAATACTAGAGGGTGACATGAGAACCTCACTGGTTCTATTTATGCAGGATATGTATGATTTCATGGCCCTTGGTAGACCTGCAACTCCTACCATTGATCGTGGGATAGCATTACATAAGATGATTAGACTTATCACAATGGGTTTAGGAGGAGAGGGCTATGTTAATTTCATGGGAAATGAGTTTGGACATCCTGGTGAGATTTAACTATTTTGTTTCATTTAACATTCTTTGAGTCTTGTAGAACAGTACCTCATCTAACAATTATCTTGCAATTTATCTTTTGTTAGTTATATTGGTGTTGAGGACTTGAGGTCATTGTTCTACTTTCTATTTTGCAGAATGGATAGATTTTCCAAGAGGTCCGCAAAGACTTCCAAGTGGTAAGTTCATTCCAGGGAATAATAACAGTTATGACAAATGCTGTCGAAGATTTGACCTGGTAAACTTTCTTTGAGCCATTGTGCTTGTGCATCAGTAAAGTCCAGTTTGTATTTACTTTTACCACTTATCGAGTGCTTTAATCAGCAAGGTGCCATTATAATAGTTCCTTCTTTATTCATATTAGTGTGTTTTCAAAAGTAAAAATATTACTGCCTTTGCAAAATTTTGCTTTAATTTCTGTTGTTATGTTTGGTCAATAATTGATCATTATGGGAATTGTGTTATTTTTACATTGTCAGGGTGATGCAGACTATCTTAGGTATCGTGGTATGCAAGAGTTTGATCAGGCAATGCAACATCTTGAGCAAAAATATGGAGTATGTTCTGTATTTATTTTTTGATTTGGTTCTGCAAGTTTGAGTTATTGTTTCTACTAACATCATACTTGGTGGGCATTCTACTTGTAGTGTCATTTTAAAAAACCATTTCTCTATTTTACTGAGCTTTTAAGCTAGGAAAATTTTATTATGAATTCGTTGATGTTGCATCGGCAATTCTATTTCATGGTGCTTGATTTTAGCTGTCCTTTTGTCTCAATAATTTATGCTCTAGCTGAGTTGGTTAGGTGGCTTAAGTTCTACTCCCTGTGAGAGCAAATTTTAGGCTGGGGTTAAAAAAATTCCCTCGTGTATCCCACGCCAATGCACAGGTCTAAGGACCGACCTAGGTTCTCACATGGGCAATGGTGCCGCTGTGTATGGCTGTGGCAGGGGTTTAGGGATTTTCTCGACCTGTGTGAGATGGTTGCCTTCTATCTTAAATAGAATGCCTGGGGGTTGTCTTACACCTCGTAGGCCAGTTTTTAAACTTGGCAAACCTATCTTAGGTATTTCCATATGATCATTAGTAGTCCTCTGGACTCTTGAGACAACACGCCATAACAGTAGCGAAAAATTTTCTGATGAAACTTGCTTGTATGATTGCAGTTCATGACGTCCGATCACCAGTATATTTCTCGGAAACATGAGGAGGATAAGATGATAGTGTTCGAAAAGGGAGATTTGGTATTTGTGTTCAACTTCCACTGCAACAACAGTTATTTTGACTACCGTATTGGTTGTCGAAAACCTGGGATGTATAAGGTATGCATCTGTCGTGCATTCCCTATGCTCAAAGCGCATATCTTTTCTTGTTAAATGAGTTTGTTATACGTAGTATCATGCTGCAATTTATCAAGTCTCATTATTGATCTCTTTCTATGATGAAGCTAGGAGCAACTAAGCTGTTGGTGCCACTGTCAGCAATTCATGTTGTAGTTAATTTAATTTGCTTGAAAAAGTAGGACGCTAGATTTGGATTTTTCCATTTTGTTATGCCATACGAGCAGGTAAAAGGTAGCAAAATACTAGTGTCATACTTATATATATATAAAAAAACAAAATATGAACTAGGCGTACCTGTTATGGATGGGGATGGCCGCATGCTCGTTCTCTTGGTGCCTCTGATATTGGAGCACATCCGTTGTTCCAAAACTAGCTGGAGAAGTTTCTGAAAATCCACTTGCTGAGGTGCTGACAGCATCTGCTATTTGTACTAGGTGGTCTTGGACTCGGACGCTGGACTATTTGGTGGGTTTGGCAGGATCCATCACGAGGCAGAGCACTTCACCACCGTAAGTTTTGTGGCGCATGATATTGCTTTCGGTACGCAGATGTCAACTTGTTCCTGACAGAAGATGTGAGCTAACTTCTGTTACAATATTGGCCATTACCTGCAGACTGTTCACATGATAACAGGCCCCATTCCTTCTCGGTTTATACACCAAGCAGAACCTGCGTCGTCTATGCTCCAGCGGAATGATAGCAAGGTACTGGTTGCTGGGCGGCATGTGTGGGGCTGTCGATGTGAGGGAAAAAAACATTCTGCCAACACCGGCAGATGCATGCATGGCACAATAAGGTTCTGAAACTTCAATCGATGCTGGAAAGCCCAGACATCCTGCTACGTTGTCATCTCTAAATATTTAAGACCTTCAGGATGTCAATTAAACATAGCCTTTTCTTTCTTTTTCGTTTTCCTAATGCTTGATGACTGATTGTTTGCGCTTGTTTCATTCCGTTGAGCACTGATGATCTTAGAGTTAAACAATCGACTGGAGCGCCTAGGTCAGACTGTGTTGCATGTCTGCCCGACTACAGAACAGTCAGCAGTGTGGCCCTGCTCTGCTTATTCTTGACTGCTACTCCTCCCAATTACCGAGTCACTCAGATTCAGACACGCTCGATCAGCACTACCACTCCAATGTCCCTGATGACACTGCACATTCCCAGCTTGCCGTTGCAGGTATACCTCGCCTGCCCGCCTGCCTTAGATGTTAACCCTACAACGATAGACATGGATACGGAATTGTGAAACGAAATGGCTGCAAAGCTAAGTGACTGTTTTCACTAACACTTGGACGCATGCCGTATCGTATCCTCAGAGGAAAGCAGAAGGAGACGATCACTCGTGCATTTTGGTCACACCAACTGGTGACAGGGAATGTACACTAGATTGCTCAAGAGTTACTCCTACTCGACTTCTTGGATCGCCGCAGGGTCTCACCTAACGCTTTTCATGATACTTGGCTTTTGTTCTTGGGCCAATCCGGAGCCGCTCTCCAGCACACATCACATGTACGTGGAATGATGCTGTCTCAGGTCATGGCATACAGCTTTGTTGGCTTTATTTCCTCCATCGATGCCCAGGAAGCTTGTGCTATCATTACCATAAGCAGCGAATAGCTAGTATGAGTTATGAGTGACAGGTGACACCTGCATGAAGATAAATATAACATCAAACAATATAATAATTCATACAAATCACCGGTGCTTGCTTAAAGGTTCAGACTCGGAGTAGCTAGTATAGGACACTAGCTAGTACTCAGCTCTTGATCGGTTGCAAAACAATAAAAAGGAGAAAGAGAGAGAGAGAGAAGACGCCCCGGGAGCACAGGGGGAAGCCGGAGGAATAAATAGACGAACGGTTGTTAGATGCAGGCTACTCCTACTACAAATTTCTTACACGACTTAGGGCGCAAGAGGCCTCTGCTGCTCTGCAGCTGTTGGCAGCTAGCAGCGACGACGATGCAGCAGGGTGATCAGATGGAGTGCAGCGGCAAGGAGCAGCAGATGCAGATCGTGTGCGTGCGGAGCGCGTCGACGGGCGGCGCCGTGGTCGGCGAGGAGGTGGGGGAGTGGGCGGAGGAGCAGTCGTCGCGGTCGGCGCTGTCGCTGTTCAAGGAGAAGGAGGAGGAGATCGAGCGCAAGAAGGTGGAGGTGCGGGACAAGGTGTTCTCCATGCTGGGCCGGGTGGAGGAGGAGACCAAGCGCCTGGCCTTCATCCGCCAGGAGCTGGAGCTCATGGCCGACCCCACGCGCCGGGAGGTCGACGCCATCCGCAAGCGGATCGACAAGGTCAACAAGCAGCTCAAGCCGCTCGCCAAGACATGCCTCAAAAAGGTACCCTACTCTTTTTTGACTGCTGTTCCTGTGCGGCTGCGCATCGGATCGACTACTCCTCATGTGTTGCTTGCGTGCTGATTGATTGATCAAATGGCAAGTCGATCGATCAGGCAGATAACACGTACCGAATGTATGTACATGAACAGGAGAAGGAATACAAGATGTGCCTCGAGGCGTACAACGAGAAGAGCAACGAGAAAGCCACGCTGGTCAACAGGCTAATGGAGGTTCACTCAAACTCAACTGCTCGATTCAATTCCTTTGCAATCCGCGCGCTATAGCTTTTGTTTTGAGAACCGTTTCAGTAGGCAGATTTTGTTTTGCGGAAAAGAAAAAGATTGTTGTTTCCAATGAGCCCAATCCGAAGGATAAATTTGGTTGGGCCATTTTCCATATTATTACTGGGCCTAATTAGAATTGGACTTGGTCCTCTTTCTTTCTTTTTCTTGACAACATGTCCGTTGACACGAGGTTGGTCCTCTAAAACAACAACAATAATTTTTTTTTTTTTTTTTTTTTTGCAGCTCGTAAGCGAGAGTGAGAGGTTGCGGATGAAGAAGCTCGAAGAGCTCAACAAGACGATAGAGTCCCTCTACTAGATCTGCTCTCACGGAAGAAAAAGAAGAAGGCGATGGTAAGGTAGTCGTGGTATCCCGGCCACACAGGAGGAACTAGCGTTGCCAGTAGCTCAACGTGCAAAATTTTTTTTCCGACGTGCTTGATTATTCGATTTGTGTATTTTTACACGTGATTTGTAACCGATGGTTCACTATCCTTGGCTTGTAATTGGTTTGTGGCGCTAGCGTCACAGTGTGCAAACGATCGTTCCTCTAACAAATGTATTGTGTAAGCAGGGGACACGATCATTTACCTATCATGATAGAGGAGGTGAAAACGATCATTTACCTATCATGATAGAGGAGGTGAAACTTAGAACTGCTCGGCACCCTTGTTTTTTTTTTTTTTGAAACTAAACTGGCAGGCTTTATTCATTCAGAATTGTTACATCATTTGTCAAGAGATTTAGAATAAAGCTAGGGGGTTCATCAACCCAAGTATAAGTTTGCTTATAGTGCATAGCTCTTTTTGCTAGGTTGTGAGCTACCTGATTTACCTTCCTACTGTAATGCTCAATAGATATATCCTGAAATCCGCTCCATATAATATTACATTCATCATACAGTGCAGCTGCCGAATTCGCTGAGAATCCTCCATTGTTCATTGTTTCTACCACCTCCATACAATCTGATTGGACGGTCAATCGATTACATCCAATGTGTAGTGTGAGCATCAAACCTTCTTTCAAGGCATACGCCTCCGCCATAGGTGCATCTATTACATGAGGCACGAAGCTGTGAGTAGCAGCTAATGCCCCTCCCGAGCAGTCTCTAATAATATCACCCACGCTGCCACATTCCTCATCTTCATTGAAGGCTGCATCAACATTGACCATAACCTTTCCTTCCGGAGTTTCTTCCGTCCCTGTCATAGTTTTGATCCTTTCTTCATTGTTGCTTTGTAATTCTTAGTTAACGCCACAATTGCCATGGCTGACCTTGAAGGTCTCTGGACGGTCTCTCCATGAACAATTCATCGTCTTTCCCACCAAATATACCAGCCCGGCAGTCAGGATTAATTCCGCAAATCCCACCTCAAGCACATCTATCTGTTCGACTCTTCTGATAATTTCCTCCAGGATCACGGAGCCTGATCGGTCTTTCCCACATACCAAGCGAGCACCAGACTTGCTTGGCTCGGTCACATGTGACAATCATGTGCTTGACATCTTCTGCTCCATTCCAGCAAACTGGGCATCCTCCTTCCCCGACATGCCTATTAGCAAGAATAGCTTGGCATGGCAGTAGCCCTTTGAGCGCCCGCCACCCAAATATCTTAATCTTCCCAGGTAGATTCAGCTTCCACAAATTCTTCCATAGCTTGGTCCTTGATGCAGTATCGGATTGCACCCGATTACATCTCAGCCCAAATTTGCTTTCCCATTGACAATGGTAGGCCGATCGAACCGAAAACAAACCACTTCTATTATAGTCCCAAGCCACCACATCTTCCCTATCAGAGGTGATAGGTATTTGCAAAATTTGATAAACATCAGTCGGCCAGAAGATAGCTTTCACCAGGTCCACGTCCCATGTTGAATTTATTGGATTAATCAGTTCATCAACTGTAGACACAATATTGCTTCCTCAGGTCGTTTGGATTTTCAAATTATGACTTGTCGGTATCCAATGATGCCCCCAAATTTTTATCTGGGTACCATCGCCAACCCTCCAAATATATCCTTGTTTGAAGCAATCCCGTCCAGCTAGGATGCTTTGCCAAGTGTATTAGCTTCGACTTTTCACTTTAGCCTTCAACAAATTGCCATCGAGATAGTATCGAGCTCTAAGCACTCTAGCACAAAAGGAGTCCAGGTCACTAAGCAGCCTCCAAACCTGCTTTGCAAGCATGGCCAGATTGAAAGACTGTAAATCCTAGAACCCCATGCCGCCCTTAGCTTTGGGTAGACACATCTTCCACCACTCTTGCCAATGCATTCTCTTATGGTCTTCTTCACCCTCCCCACCAGTCCTGCAAGATGGCACTTGTGATTCCTTTACAAATGGTTTTTCGAATTTGAAACACCATCATCGCATATACTAGGACGGCCTGAGCGATAGACTTGATAAGAGTTTCCTTCCCTCCAAAACTTAGTGTCTTCTCCCTCCATCCATTAATTCGGGTAACCACCCTATCAATCAAATGGTAGAAACAATCACTGCGATTAGCTCCCACCAAAGCTGGAAGCCCTAGATATTTATCATTTAACGATTCCGTCATAATATTTAGCACTTGGCATACTTCTTCTATACTTCAACCTCTGTGTTACTTGAAAAATAAATACTGGACTTTGCTTCACTTATCTTTTGCCCCGAATTTGCACAATATGTACTTAATATATCCGCCAAACAATCAACATTTTTCATGTTCGCTTTCATCAATATTAGCGAGTCATCTGCAAAAAGAAGGTGAGAAATTGTCGGAGCTTCTCTACTACAAACTTTCACCCCCTCCAAATCTCCCCTCTCCTCAGCTTTTCTAATCATGCAGGACAAACCTTCGGCTACCATCAAGAACAAATATGGGGATAATGGGTCCCCTTGCTGCAGTCCTCTAGTGGGAGCAAAGATATCTGTCTCAACATTATTGAAGCGAACACTGTAGTGGACTGACGTAACACAAGCCATTACTAAATCCATCGTTGATCAAATCCTAGCTTAGCCATGATCTTTTCCAGGAAGCACCATTCAACTCTATCATAGGCCTTATGCGTATCTAGCTTGATTGCACAAAGGCCATTCTTCCCCTTGTTCTTTTTCATTGTATGAATACACTCATAGGCTAGCAAAATATTATCTGTGATCAGTCTTCCCAGCACAAATGCGCTCTAATGATCACTAATAATCTCTGGTAAAATCACTTTGAGTCTATGTGAAAGCATCTTGAGATGATCTTGTACACCACATTGCAAAGAGATATAGGGTGAACCTGAGTTACCTTGTCAGGATTATCAATCTTAGGAATCATAACAATGGTAGTGTCATTCCACCCAGTTGGCACCATTGCAGTCTATATCGCCCCTAACACCTCGTCAACTAGATCATCCTCCAACATATCCCAGAATCGCTTGAAAAAATAACGTGAAGGCCATCAGGCCCCGGGGCCTTTAAAATCCCTATACTGAAGATAGCTTTCTTCACCTCCTCCCTACTGAAAGGCACCTAGAGGAGTTGGTTCATGTCGGCCAAAACTTTCTGGTCCACGTCATTCAGAACCCCATCATCAATCTCCTGTGCCTCCCTTGTAAATAAATTGCCAAAATATTCTTTAACCATTGTGCCCATCGTCTCCATATCTTCATGCCGCACACCCTGCTCATCCACCATTCCCTTCACCATGTTCTTTTCTTATGGCTGGAAGCAAAATGATGAAAGAAATTAGTGTTTCTATCACCATGTTTGAGCCAATTGCCCGTGCCCGTTGCACCCAATAGATTTCCTCTTGTTCCAATATCAGTTCCAATTGTAGGAGGATCTCCTTCTAGGCTACTATCGACTCATCTGTCATCGGCCCAGACCTCAACCTCTCTAACTCCCTCTTAAGCTTTTTTATTCGGTAGACAGGTTTCTTCAAAACCTCCTTGTCCCACATATGCAGGTCCGAATGCACTTGGTTCACTCTTGTCATCAGAGGAGAACCCTGGCCTTGGGCCGAAGCCTGTGCCCATGCTGTTTGGACAATTTCCTATACAGTCTCTTCCTTCAACCATCTAGCTTCAAAATGCCTTGCCTGCTATTTGATTGGGCCGGTTGTGCACCAGCACTCTCTATATCAACACGAAGAGGCCGGTGATCAGATTTCAGGGTTTCTCCATTCACCAACACCGCCTCAGGGAACATGTTGCTCCATTGGACATTCGCAACACCCTAGTATAGCCGCTCTCAAATCGTCCGTCTCTGCCACGTGAACATATCTCCAGTAAAACCAATATCCAGCAGTGCACAATCATCCAAAGCATCATGAAAATCTTGCAGTTGCCTCTGCGATCTTGCCCAGCCACCCTCCTACTCATAGTGATATAAAATTTCATTAAAATCACCTATTGCCAGCTAGGGCAAGGAGGTACTCACACTATTCTTCAAAAAGCGCATCGCTACCCAAGTGCGATCCTTATGATCCCAACTTGGTTCCCCATACATTTCAGTAAGTCTCCAATCCTCCCCATCTCCCACAACTACATCAATATAATATTGTGAAATATTCAGTGGTTTTATCACTGCCTCTTTCTTCCATAGCATCAACAAGCCCCTGTAGCGACCATCACTCTCATGAATGACAAAATTATCGCAACCTAATCTCCTTTTCAAGTTTTCTGCCCTTGCCTTCCCCAGATGTGTCTCGGACAGAAAAAGCACATCCGGTCTTTCTCGCTTCTGGACCTCCAGAAGCACATGAACTACTCAGGGGCTCGCCAGCCCCTGGCAGTTCTAAGCTAAGAGTTTCATTGTGCCTGGTCACTCTCCTCGAAGGAGAGTGCCGATTTTGCATTTGGGTTTGTCAGCTCATCAACTTTTCCATCTCCATCCCTTTGTGGCCTCTTCTTCTCCTTCTCTTTTAGAGGATTTATAGAAGCCTCCTTCTGGGAAGGATGCTCTAGAAGATTAACTTGCGCAGCAACTCTTCTGGCAGTAGCACCCGTCTCCCTACTCTTCCTGGACGGGTTGCCATCTGGATCTTCATCATCCCCAATAGAGGTGTCCATCTCAACAACATCATCATCCATCCACTCTCCATGCCCCACACCTCTTCCACGCCCTCTTCCTCGGCCTCTACCTCTTCCTCCCTGGTCATCCCTCCCAGACACCATCGATAGGAAAGGAACTCGCAACCATTCTCCCCAACCATAGCTCTCCTTGGGGTGAACTCCATCTCTGCATTCAGTTACTTCATGCCCCATACATCCATAGAAAAAGCAAAAACTTGGTAGCTTTTCATATTGTACCAAATACTTCATGCTCTCCTTGAGCGTAATCGGCACCGCACGCACTAGGGGCTTCTTAAGATCAGGCCAAACCCTAGCACGCAAATATGGTGTGGGGTTGATCTTCCCTTCATTCACCACCACCATAATGGGATTCCCAACTTTCTTAGCTACCTTCTCCGCCAATTCCCTCTTCTTCATAAGCCCCTCCAGGCTCCTTGGATTCTCGCCCAAACTAGAATTTTATCTAGCTTATATGACAGCACATTGGAGAAACCATCATATTCTTCCAAAACTATGGCCGCTCCTCTAAAAAAGCCATGGGCTACCTTCCATCACCCTCGACCAATCTCCAAGGTAATGGAGCTAGACCAAGAACAAATTAGGACCAAGAGCTTTGAACGTCACCTTCTTCGCTACTACCCATGCGTTCCTCAACGCACTGAACAATGCCACATGACTAAACGGTTTCGTCGTATGAACCCTAAAAAGGGCTAGCCATCGGACCTCATTCACAAGCTCCTCAAATTCACCAGAGAAATCCAGATCTTCTTCCTCCTCCCCTTGAAGCGTCATGACCTCCAGATGTTTCTCTAGACTCGGCAAACTCCCCTCCTCATCCATCACCATCCCCTTCCCCTTCTCCTTCTTAGATTGATCTATCATACAGGCTCGCCGATGGCACCTAGGCTACCCGCAGAGGGGCGCGCAGCACGAGCGTATTTTTTGGGTGGAGAGATCACATGATCTCAGCACATTTTTTGGTGGACTCAACGTCACCGCCAAGGAAAAAAGAAACCCAGATTAGGGGATGGTGTTCATCGCTTCTCGCCATCCTCGGTACCCTTCGGTTATTTAGTTGCTATCTAGATCTTGAAATATCTGAGATAGGTTTCAGCATCATGATGAAAAGCAACGTGAGACTATAGGCAGTACTAGCACCCACGTCCAGATGTCCGTGGCTACTGCACGCCAGTGTCGCTTCCTGCACCCGCAGCCACATAATGCTCCATCCCTCTGCTTCCCACAAGCATGCACAGTGCCTCAACAACTACAGTAGGTGGTTGTGATAGGTGAGTCACATTACAACATGTACAACACCTAATCCAATTTTGAAACATCCAGATAAAACTTTTACAAGATGCTTCTGAAGAAAGATGAAACAGTTGAACATGCGTCTCAAACACTTGCAAAAACACCTAAAAACACTTAGCCATTGCAAAACATATGCAAAGTCCTGACAAAAACACTTGCAAACATATGTGTAAATATACGCAATATCCAAATAAAAACACTTGCAACATACGTCTGAAAAAATAGATGAAACATTTGAAACATACGCTTGCAACATACGTGTATAGCCTGTAACACCCTAGGTGTTAGTCACAAGTTAAACAGCGAGTTTGGACTCAAGTAAGTTATGTCAAGTGATGATTGAGGGCTCTAGTCTAAATTTTTTGAAGTGGTGATGGAAGTGCTGAGGTCAAATCTATGAAATTGAGTCCCAACTTAACTAGGACAATACACCTTTGCTTACATATTGACCCTTTTCAAATATAGGCTTGAGTAGTGTTCAACGTGCCTCTTTCATGAGCATCACCTTAGCATCAAGCCATCTTGACAATCGGAAAAGTTTCATGAAGTTTGGAATCAAGAGTCACATGGAATGATGAATTATATCATTGCTTGAATCGCTTTATTAGGTGAACAATAGCAAGTGATGTCAACCAAACCTTGCTACCTTGCCCAAATAACTCTAATTGAATTCTATAACAAAAGTCATGAAAGGTTCATGTTGAGCAAATGTCAAGAAAATGCTTCAATGGATCAAAAATGATAATTTAAGCTTTATCGTGATGTTGCTTTGACCAAGATGAAACTATGATTTTAGGACCAGATATGAAGTTTGACCTTAAATAGAAGTTGAAGTTTAAGTTATGCGTAGCAAACTTTGTTTTTGGACCCAACCCTAAATCAACCTGGAAGCAGGTCAAACAGAGGCTCAAAGTTTGAATCTACTGTTGTTTAGTCCTTTCTTAAATAATTGTCCCCGATCAACAACAGTGAGTTGACATGTTTGCGACATTTTATCTTGCAAAATTGTATGGTAACTCAATTTAATTACTTAATATGAGTTGCAGTAACCTTTGTGAAGGAAACAATAAAATAAGTCTCATTACTTTCGGAGTACGTTTGGACTTTCAAAATTTATTGTAAAAATAGCAAAATATTCTAGAAATCAGACCTTAACTAAATTTAGTTTTTAGTTTCATGTACCCCTCTTTGGAGCACTGGTTCTCTCAAACTAACCCAAGTTAGACCAAACTCTTTTAAGCAAACTTGTAGTAGCCATGTAGACCTACAAAGTTTATCACAGTGCCTTAAGCTAAAACATCATGGTTTAGGAGTTAGAAGGGAAGAAGAACGCAATTTCAGTCGGCTTGAAACTGGGACTCAGGATTTAGTTCTGGGTACCCTCCTTTGGAGCTCCATATCTTCCAATCTAGGCTGAGTTAGCTCTGGATCCTTAAAGAAATCTTGTTCACCTCGCAAAGATCTACAGTTTTGTCTCATGCGCCAAATCAATGGACAACCGGATTGGGAGTAGAGGATGGGAAAGTTGGTAGTTTTAGTCATTCACTTGGCTTTTCGGATCAGTAGGGAGCTGGTCATGGCCGACAGCGCACAGGCGCTGGATGTCGCATGCCTCGTGTGCTCACCTGCATGCTCGCCACCTCGCCAACGCTCGCATGGCGTGGAGACAAGAAAAGCCCGAGCGCTCGCCTCCCTGCTCTCCATTCTGCTCTCCCTCTCCTCTCGCTCTCTCTGCTCGCCATGCCTAAGCAGTGGAGCTCACGACCACCGACCTCGCTCGTCCTCCAAGCCTCCTCCATCCCAGCCGGCCTCACCCTCAACCTCCCCGCTCCGCGCTGCCTCCCCTGCGCTGCCTTCTCGGTCGTGCAGCCGCTTGTAGCTAGGGACGTCGGAGCCACTACCGCTATAGGCCGTCTGCCTCCGTGGTCGGCAACCTACAGACCATCGCTGGCCGGGCTATGCCCCTTGGCTGTTTTGCCTAGCCACAGGGAAGCTGCGCCGCCACTTACCCTCTGCCGCCGGTGGTCACCTCGCCGGATTCCGGCCTCCTAGACCGGGTCTACTCTGTTCTATGTCGAGAGAATGAAGAAGGGTGAAAATGGGAATAGAAACTCTTCTCTGGTACTGATGCAAAACGCCTAGAGACAAAGGATTTACATTTGTGGGCTTAGATGATTTGTGAGATCTGTAGGGTTCCTGATGCAAATGTGTTTTTCTTTTTTTCTTTTCATTTATTGCATTTAATTGGCTGAAACTTTGGAAATCATAGTAAATTGTAGAAAAATCATAAAATAACAAATGAAGATATTTTGGAATCCTTGTGAGTAGATATACACAGTAGAGTCATAATATGATCTATGTTAGTAGAAATTTTCAGCTGTTTTTATTTATTTGTGTAAATTAGGGTTTTCTAGGAATAAATTCATATCTGGAGTTGTGGTGCTCCAATTGCTGTGAAATTTTTATGGTAGGCTACTGAAGATATATGGGTGTTGTGGTAAAAATTTTGGGTTCATTAGATGCAGTATGATTGGTTTATTGATTTAACTTGTTTAGTGCAAGATAAATGGTTTTCAAATAAGTTATAATTTTTATGAAGGTGTAAAAATAGAAAATGTTGTTCCTATACCTTTGTATGATGTTGTGCTACCATAATAATATATAATATGGCCATGCATTTACAGAAAATATTGAATTTTATATTTATCTTGTTCTTACATGTTTATTGATAATTAATATTTGTCTTTTTCATACTAATTAAATTATAAAACCTGAGCATGTGAAATCTGAGCAGTAGCCATATTTGAATAACATCTACCACTTATAAAAGTCTTAGCCCCAAACTAGTTGTTCTTGTATAGCACTAAAAATATTATATATGTTGCATTATATAAGTAGAGGATGAAAGTTTGTTAATAGATGCATGTGTTTATGACATGTAATACTTTTAATAATGGGTGCTAAGTAATGTGATTGCTTGGTTATGATTAGGAACCACATATATAGCAATAAAATATTAGTTGATAACAACATAAATGATAAATGCATATAGTTGTATCTCTATTGTTGTGGCTGCTAGAGCAGTTAGCAGTATGGTGATGATTTTGTGGCCTAAATATTGTTTTCTGTAGATATGTTGAATACCAAAGTTGTAGATAATTTCCTTATATTATTTTTCCTAAAATTTCATGATTTTAGTCATGATGGTTTAGGAGTTATAGATTTTACAAGTTTGCTATCAGCTTTTGCATGTGCTCTGAACAGATCTGAATGATTATATTGTTTGGCTTATTTAAACTTGGGATCATATATTGGTGATAATATAAGAGTTGTAGTGCTTTTGTTAGGATTTCCAAAATGTCTAAGAGCGCCACTTTTGCTAGCCTAGAACTCCAGTTATAGCTATTCAAATTGGAATGGCAGGTTCTGTCCAAGTTTAGCAGAGATGTCTTTATTGGGTTGTTTAACCTTGTTAGCTGTAGAATCATCTTAAGATGATAATAATAAAGTTATAGATAACTGAATAAGCTTTTTAGAAAGTTAAGAATCATGTTTTCTAAATGTCTAGACCTTTAGATATACATTTCTGAAGTTCATATTAGTTTTTATCCTAGTTTGTGCAGATCTACTTGTTAGTGTTTTTCAACCTTGTTAACCTTTGAATCAGCTATAGGTGTAAATAACAAAGTTGTAGACAATTTCCTAATCTTTCCAAAAAATCTAGAATCACCATTGTTTGATGCCTATAACTCCAGTTATGGATGAAACAAGTGTCTTCTGTGTTGCTATCCAGATTCTGTGCATGTACTAAGTTGATTGCATTAGCTTTCTCTTGTTTTGGCTAAACATGTCAGTTAGTTCTTGATTGATAAATGCTTGATGTAACTTAACTTGAGTTGACTAGCATGCCATGCTTGATGTGCTTACTATCTCTATGTTAGACTTGACGTAAATAACTTGTTCTCTAGGTGCTCATGTCATGTGGTGTGATCTTTTGCTTGTCTTGAATGCTTTGTGATGCATCATGTTTTGCCTCCTTTCAGTTCATACATTTGCATCGTGCATCTTATTTAGGTATGCTAGATCGTGAAGCACATTTAGTCGAACTAGAAAACGCTTGGTGGATAAGATGAACCGCATCCGGATGGAAAGACCACGAGAGTTCATATAATCGGAGATGCTCGCTGTTTAAGCGAGTGTCACGCATCAACCTAGTGTTAGATCCCAAGCAAGCCCCGGAGCATTCTAAGTCTCCTACCCTGTCTTTTTACAAATGCACATAAGTATAATTTTTGCATGCTACATTAGGTGATAGGAGTTGAATGAAACCGTTGGTGCATAATTCCTACCTTGCCCACTATATATAAATACATAACCCTTACTAGTATGAGTAGGACGTTCTATGCTTAATGCTTATATGCAATATCACGATCTATATTTTGCTATCGTGAAAATAACATGTGGTGATGAATAAATAGAGACCAGACGGATATATGGTGATTTAGAGGCGTAAAGACATGGATTTACATGTTTTA